GTCTTATTTAAATTAGACAAGCCTGAGGTTGCGCGGTAGTATTTGCATGTTAGTTTTTATTACCGTTGTATTGTTATGCATGTTTTTAATACAATTGCATGAATGTTGTGTTTTTGAATGTCATCGACTTAGTTAGGGTTAGAACCTTATTTGCGTGAATTCTGTATTCGATCAGCGATCGTTCCCGATTATGCACTCGCGATCACCTCACATATTAGGAGAAAGGTCCTAAAATCAATCCAAATTGCTCGACAAATGTTTTCATAAATGAACAGGGTAAAAAGGTACCGAAAGGGCATTAGTTATCCAACTAGTGTAACCAAGTCCCCGAACTCATTTAATCTACGGTTCGTAGGAATAGGGTGATTCTCCCATCACCCTATTTGGGTTTCTAATCGACCCACCCCAAATCGATTAGTGGCGACTCCTTGATATAAACCACTTGCATGTTAAACACTTAAACCCTAAGTCGCGATATGGTATGGGCTTGGAGAGCCCGAGTTAAGTCCGAACCTAGACTTAGCACGTACGTGCGAGCCCCTTCTCTTTGCATGTCGTTTAAAAAAGGGCTCGGGAGTTCGGTCGCGACACCGAATATGTAGGCACAGTGTCCTTTTTCAGTTTACTTTGTCTAAAAATTTCAGAAACAATGGACCAGCACCTAGAGAAGGAATAACATAACATAACCTAAGTGCGAGGAAGCGAGGGAAGTCGGTGCACAGGTCAAACCCCTTTTCTTTCTCCGTTCAAAACCAAGGGTCTCGGCTTTTTGACTTTATTTTCCATTCCTTCGTTGGCAGATCTCTTGCACCAGAAGTGACTTGGCATTTAGGTTACTTTATTTTATTCGAAAGATGATGACCACAGAATTTCAAATACCACAGCTTTTGGTGTTTTCATCATCTTCAGGAATTCTTCAATTAATCTTTCGGACATAATTCGATATCGGTGGATCTCCTCGCTCGGATTGGTTTGCCTTGTCAAAACGGGAATGTTGCTTAGTACGAGTTGTGATACAATTAGCATGCTTTCCAAATGCCAAACGTGCAATTTTTCTTTTTCTAGTTCTTACCACGACTACTCACAACATAAAACAAACTAAACAAAATAATTTCATCTTTTGAGAGAATCAGTCTCGTTTCTTTTCAATTTTTTTACAGTTTCCCAGTTTTCATACATTGTAATGCTTGGAAATTGCCCTAATAATTGTAAGCATGACGGTCCAACGATCTCGAGACGAATTGATAAAAAATACCAAATCTTTTAATTCCATCCGCAACATCATTCTCGGGTACATAACTCAGTTCAGAAAACAAAGGTGTGTAAATAAAAACACCATAAAAAATGACAAAATCTCAAATACGACCACATTTCTTCCCTTTATGATTAATCTCTCCAAGATAAAATACTCCAAATTAAGCAGGGACTTTGGTGAGCTCGCGCTCCACGGCTTTCTTCAAGAAGCTGTCCTCTTCCAACACCATCTGGACCGGCAAGAACCCCAAGTCGTCGGCCATGGCGAGCATCATCCTCCTCGTCTCCGCCTTGAACTCCTCCAGATCCACCGATCCATTGGCGTCGTGGTCGAACTGCACGAACAGCGAGCCGTACACGCGGGCCAGCTCGTCGGGGTCGGGCTTCTCGTCGACCCCAAAGTGGGTCTCAAGCACGCGCAGGCCCTGCAGATCACGCAGCATCTCGGCGTAGGAGAGACGTCCATCGCGGTCGACGTCGAGGCACGAGAAGCGGTCGCCTATGAAGGCATTGAAGGCCTCCTCGTCCTCCACGAAGCCGATGATGGTGGCCGAATCCAACAGTTCCACGCTCATATTTGTTTTTGGTTTTGATGGCGTCTGGTGAATGATGAACGAGTTTAGTAAGTAAAAGGTGGGTGTAAGAGGGAGAAAGAGAGATGAAAAGAAGGGTTTTGGTTATCTTTATGTGAGGGTTCGGTTCTGGTTTGTTCATGTTGCAGAAGGCTATTTATAAGCTCGATGAACAGTTAAAAGAAGTGTTGTTTTGTTTAGTTGATTTTGAAATGTGTGTTTCAAGCGCCAATAGAACGTTTTGGCCCGTTGTATTACGCACTCGGTTTGTTCTTTCTTTTGAACCGACTTTTGGGTTGTGTACCTAGAAAGTGCTCTTTGGTTGTTCCTAGACGCGTGCTAACAGTGAGCTAAACGGTAAGATTTTCCACTTGATTTTCTCCAATTTGATTCTAATTTCTGATGTGCAATTTGAATTTATAACCTTTTCGGACAGCAATGACCATATTTTCAGTTGTTCCCAAGCATAGAAAAATACGTCGCACGGTTCATAAATCGTGCATACCTAACTCATCTCATCAGATGATCATGTGGAGCTCAAGATAGGGCTTGCAAAATTTATTGTTGTGATGATATTGGTCTTGAAATAACGTTTTGGTTATTCCTAGATGTGTGCGAAGCAATAAAGAAGAAACATAAATCTTCTAAACTTCCGAGCTCAAGATAGAACTCACATCCATGCCGCTAGGCTCAAGTTCAACCGGGTCGAGCTAGGCCTTGGATCCATAGCCCTCAATCCAAGTCCGCCCAAAAGTGCCTTCAGGTTCCTAAGCCGCAAAGTCCATGACCAGATCGAGCTCTGACGCACGTAGCTTGCTTTCTAATTTAACTGAAAGTATGGACTTACTCTGCTGCGTGTACGAAAGTTACATGAAAGAAAAATTGCGTGCTACTATTTTATCAACATGCCTATCAAATCTTTTTATTTTGCTCGACCCATTTCATTGCTCGCAAATATGTGCACGACGAGAAAAAAAAGGCTGATGATATTGTGCTGATACATAAGTTTGATTCGTGCAGTCATTTACTAATTTGCTCGACTTGGAAACATGATGTGTTCCGATTCGATTAACAACTAGATTTATGTTAACGTATTTAATCTGGTTTGGTATCATCTCTTTTCCCATATTGCAAATGTCATTAATTGGAAATCTGGAGTCCCGACACATTAACACACAAATTCCCACTGGGAGCAATCCTAGGTATGCTCGTTCAAACGGTGATCAAGAAGGTTAATGCATCCATTCATTAATCTAAAACAGATTTGGCTAAAACCCAGAGATAAAAAACAATAAATGCTCAGTCCTTTTCCTCCATACTTGCTAACTTCTTACATGAACCTACGTTTGATCGTTTGGAGGATAAGACTGGAAATGATATGATATGAAATTCAGACATTTTGATATATCTTATACACAGCTTGGTGAATTGCAATAATAAAAATGGATATTTTCACATCTTATCATATCCTTTATTTGGTATGAATGCATATCAGTGTAAATGAATTTAAAAATTGCACAAACGGAGATGGTAAGAATTTCTCACGACATTCTTGTGTACTTCATTTTTATTTGCTTATTTTTTTTATTATTTCCCCTCTCTTTTTTAATCTTTTTTCCCCTTCCATTATTCTCTAATAAAGTTTTATTAAAAAGTAAACTATACTAATATACCCAAAATACTAAAATACCTAAAATATGTGATAGCTATAAATACCAAATATATATTTATATTGAATTTATATTACAAGATAGAAAGAAATTTGAATAAATAAATAAAAATAGGAATAAATAAAAACGAAATTGTTGTTATTTTTTATTGTGAATTTTTTATATTATAATTTAAATATTATTATATATTTTTTAATTTAAGTTGTTATTCAAGAAAAATAAATTTTATATTATGGAAATTAGAAATCCTATCCACCTTTATCCCATCTCCCCCATGGATAATTTTATCCGGGTTATGTATCTTCTATATCCCACTTTATTCTATCTTGGGTAGGCATCAAACAAATGTTAAAATAAATTTTATCATATCCTGAATTTTAATCTGACTACCAAATAATGAAAATTCGTTTTTATGAATAGACATAACCTTTATTCCTTTCATAATTCCATCACTTGCTAAACTCCACTCTCTGAAATTTGGGGTTATTAAGTTTGATAACCATTATATATATCAATTAGCATGTTTCATCCACTAAAAGAGTGTTTGATAAACTTTTCAAAAAATAAGTTAAGATAATATATATAAACATGTAAATATAATTTTCCAGAGTTACATACATTCTTCAAAGGAAGAGAGGTTTGTAATTATAAAGAAATTAAAGAACACGTCGCAAGATTATTAAATTTAAATAAAAAAAGAAGTGGCCGGCCGTGGTGCACACGTGCATCTCAAGTGCATGTTACGTGCAAGTGAGATGGAGAGGATTTTTTCTCATGTTTTTTTCGTGCGTATCTCCAAATCACTCTTGGCACTCGTTCTCCCTCGGGTTAGGGTTTTTTCTTGCCCTCTCACTGCCCGCCTCTCGCCCTTCTAAAAAACCAACGCCCTCCCACTCTCCGAACCCACTCTCGGCCATAATAACCTGTGAATTTAAATGGCACGAACTAAATTGGGAAAATAACATCTTAAAGAAAAAAGAATAAAGGAAGATTGCCCAGTATAACCTTGGCGCCATACTTTCGGGAAGTGTAAGATGACTCTCTCGATCCGTGCACAGCTCTAAAAATACGGCCTGCAATCAAATGTTTCTTAAACTTGCTCAAGAAAAACATTAAACAAAAAATACAAATGCAAGCTATTAGCTTGAATTGAAAAGCACGGCAATTTCATCTTTTGAGAGTTATTCTTCCTCATATTTTTCTCAATACTTCACATTTTCCGTTTTCAAATGATATAGAGCTTGTAGCTACCACAGAGGGAGAGGGAGAAGGAGAGGGAGAGAGAGCTCACCGAGTCGAGAACGAAGAGCTTGGTTGAATAGCACTGAAGGATGAATCGGCTCATAAGCAGAGTGATCTGTAATCTTTAAGAAGGTAGGGGTACTTATAATTTAAAGTTAATTGCAGCGGCAACATGTACTTGTGGATAGTGATGTGTATCATTTGCAGACAATTGCTTACCCATTAGTTATGAAAGCAACATCAAACTACATAAAACAGAGACGTCCAATGTGAAGTCATCTCCATTGGTGAGTGTTGCATCCCAAACACCAGTTTACAAATCCATACACAAAGAAAGACACTATAGCAAGAGATTTAGCCAAAGAGCTTCTCAAATCAATTGGAAGAGATTTAGCTCCAAACTAGCGGTGAATTTTAAGACATGTGCGTATTTAAGCTGTTCAACTTCGGATGAGTGACTCACTCGGTGATGCCAATTTCCGTGTGAAATCGGCAAGATCAGGAGGCGCCTCAAGCTGCGCCACTCAAAATACCTGTTTAGTTGAACACGCGAGCGATCGGAGAGTGCAAATTCATCAATGGACAAACACACCACATTGAATCAATAGAGCACGCGAACTCATAGCTGCAAGAGAGAGAGAGAGGGAGAGAGAACTCACCTTGAAGAGCAAAGTAAAGCTCTAGGGAAAAATGCTAGTGCGTAGCCTACAGGAGAGAGAGGGAGAGGGAGAGGGAGAGGGAGAGGGAGAGGGAGGGAGGGAGGGAGGGAGGGAGGGAGGGAGGGAGAGAGAGAGAGAGAGAGAGAGAGAGAGAGAGAGAGAGAGAGAGAGAGAGAGAGAGAGAGAGAGAAAACTGAAGAAAACGGTTGAAGAGCGTGAAGCTCTAGGGTCAGATCACAACAGCACCGGCACTTATTTTCTACAAACTATTTCAGCCAATGTGTGAAGTTGAACTTATTATACTCATCAAATGTTTTTTATAGTTTTAAAACCACCTAGTCATCCCCTCTAGGTTGTATTATTAGTTCAAATTGGAATTGCCTTTAAGTTAGGGATAAGAACACTACAAGCGCAATAACTTTTGTACATCACTCACTTGAGTGTCATAACTTTTTTTTATCACTTAAGTGCCATAACTTTTAAAAAAGCGTTCAATTGAGTGTCACAACTTTCAATTGATCATTTAAGTACTAATTTTTTTTTAAATGTTCACCAAAGTGCTGGAAATCCGACATGGTATGGCATTTGTGGTGAACGTTTTAAAAAAGTTATGTCACTCAAGTGATTGATTGAAAAGTTAAATGGCACTCAAGTGATTGGATAAATAGTTATAGCACTTAAGTGAGCGTTGGACATTAGTTATGGCACTCAGGGGATCGAAAAAAAGTTATAACATTCAAGTTAGCGCCGTACAAAAGTTGTAGCACTTGTGATGTTTTTATCCCCTTTAAGTTATCTCCAACAACATGCTAAGGATTCTGCTAATGCAGAAAAATCGAAATATTACCAACATGATGCAAATATTAATAAGATTTAACGCAATAAATCTTACCATTCCATATACACGTGAAATAATACTGAACTCTATCTTTTCCAAGAGTGGCATATTTCTCCATACATTTTGCATGGTAACCTGTGGCAGTCATGTGGAAGAGAGAATAAATAGGATTTTCAACAACATGAACTAAATTGGGAAAATAACACCTTAAGAAGGAAAGAAAAAAAGATGGCAATACCTCATAAGGGAGATCTCCCAGTATAACATCAGCGCCACACTTTGTCGCTTCTTTGTTCACAATAAAATTCACTTTCGAGAACTCTAAGTAACCCCTCTTGAACGTTGCATAACTCTAAAAATATGGCCTGTACTCCAACGATTCTTAAACTCGAGTTCGTTTGGAAGCATTAAAAAAGAATTACAAATGCAAACGATTAGCATGAATAGAAAAACACATGGGCTGCGTTTGGTCGTCCGGATTTCTAAACAGGATAGGACTGGATAGGATAGGATAAGAAATCCTGGGATTTCTTCATATCCTATCCACTGTTTGGTGGACTACGGATTTAAAGTCGGATAGGATAATTTTTTTTTTTTTTGCTATTCACGGGTTCAGAGGAGTCAGTGAAGAAAAAAAAGCCGAGAAATTTTTTTGGTGAAAGCGCACAAGGTGTGGAGATGAAGATGACGGTGAGTGAAGCGTAGAGTTTCTGGAAAAATATGCATTAGAAATCCTATCCGGGTCTATCCTACCCCCTCCCCCCAGATTTTTTTATCCGGGCTATATCCGGTCTATATCCGACCTTATCCTATCCTGGACCACCACCAAACACAGGATAGGATAAAACATATCCTATCCTGGCTTTTATACGGTCGACCAAACGCAGCCATGTGGTTTTAGCTTTCTGATAATGTCTTTTACCAGTTGACGGGTTTCTGCAACAAAAACCACGGCACAAACATTAGATGTGCATAGATTATACCTCACAAATTAGGATTTAAAGGTCGAACTTTCACAACACTCATCTCAGTCCTATGTGTGGTCCCTAATAGGTGAACCTGGCACGTGTCGTAGGTGAGAACGACCAGGTCCTCGAGAAGTTTACTGGATCGCTCATCATTGCCATTGTCCTCCCTCCCGCCGTCCTTGGCGATATTAGGGTTGGGGTCAGACATATCTTAGTAGTATATGGCTATGAGAAAACAAGTGATTGGTTGGATTGTAAAAGGAAAGCGATGAATTGGTGATAGGTTCTTCTAGTTATAGAAGAAGAGAGGGGGGAGAGGAGAGAGCGAGTTAAGTGGAGTGGCGCAAGGGAGCGAGCTGACCGATTCACGAACCGGGTTGAGGCGTGGTGAAGGCATACAAAATGCTGTCAATTATGGATTTCTTACTTGATCCTCCTTTGCCACATTGCGGACACTGATTAGAGAGAAGAGGGAGAATTGGATATAGAGAATAGCTGAGAATTAATTTATAGTAATTAGCATTTTGCCAGTTTCCATATTTATAAGTATTTGTATTCACAAATTCTAACATATAAACGCCAACTCCCGAAAGAGGTAATAGACTTAAAAAAGACTAGGAAAAATTGAGCGCACTGATTGATCCTGTCCGGTAACAATTGCAAGCATTAAGCTGAGCATAAAGAGATTTCAGGCCATGAAAAAAAAAGGGTGTAAGACCAACGAAAGGTTTCACTGTCGAGGTTCATAGATTCTAGCTAGATCAAACGCTCAGCAACATAGTTCCTCTAATATTTCTCATGTCTCAAGCACATTATAGGTAATGGCATGGATACAAAAGTCCCAATTCGGAATCCAGAAATGAGAAGACAGCAAAATCTTCAAGTTGCAACTGATCACAGCGAATAACAGATGCATATCAATTCTCATCTTAATGGCACCTCTCAACAAGTTTGAGCTTTTAAATTCAAGATAATAACTTGTATGATTGAACTTGGCAGTCTGCGCCTGGTCCACTGTATCTTTTTGTGTACCTAGTTTTTGGGGGTGCACTACCAAATCATTGTGCACTAAAATACAATGTGCAAAAGTGTTGTATTTCCTAAAGGTGTACTTGACACACTTTGTTAGCAAGAGCCTTCTCTAATTCTATATTACATGCTGAAATATTTTTTGGATGTTGACATGTAATTACCAGCTTTAAATCCTTATTAGATTTAGATTGATTTGTAATGTTTAAGAAAGCATATGTACTTAGAATATAAAGTTAATTGCAACGGCAATATGTACAAGGTAGTGATGTGTTTCATCTGCAGATAATTGCTTGCCCATCAGTTACGAAACCAACATCAAACTACAAAAAACAGAGATGTCCAATGTGAAGTCATCCCCATTGGCGAGTGTTGCATCACAAACACCAGTTTACAAATACATACACAAAGAAAGACACTAGGGCAGGAGATTCAGCCAAAGAGCTTCAAGAATCAATTTAATAAGATTTAGCTCAAAACTAGTAGTGAATTTTAAGACATGCGCATATTTGAGCTGTTGAAACTCACCCGGTGATCCCATTTTTCGTGCAAAATCGGACAGATTAGGAGGCGTCTCAAGCTGCGTCACTAAAAATCCCCGTTTAGCTGAACACGCGAGCGATCGGAGAGGTGTGAAGTTGGAGTGGCGAAGCAAGAGAAGGAGCTCCACACTGATGAGGAGGCGTCTCGAGCTGTTTCACTCAAAATCCCCGTTTAGCTGAACATGCTCCCAGCTCAGCCCTCCTTAGAATTAATCAACAGAGCACGCAAACTCGTAGCTACCAGAGAGAGAGAGACAGAGAGAGAGAGGGAGAATGAGCTCACCGAGTCAAGAACGAAAAGAATTGTTGAACGGCACTAAGATGAATCGACTCACGAGCAGAGTGAAACTTTGACGCTTGCTGAGAACAATCTTTAGGGCCAAGAAAATGCTCCCAGCTCAGCCCTTTTCAGAAGGAATCAACAAAGCACGAGAACTCGTAGCTATTAGAGAGAGAGGGAGGGAGAAAGAGCTCACCCAGTCGAGAAAGAAGAGAATGGTTGAACAGCACTAAAGGATGAATTGGCTCATGAGCAGAGTGAAGCTTTGATGCCCGTTGAGAATGATGTGTAGGGCCAAGAAGTTGAATCACAGAAAATGCTCTCAGCTCAGCTCTTTTCAGAAGAAACCAATAGAGCATGCAAACTTGTAGCAACCAGAGAGAGAAAAGAGAGTTATAGAGAGTTGTTGAGAATTAATTCGTAATAACTAGCATTTCGCCAGTTTCCATGTTTATAAGCATTTGTATCCACAAATTCCAACATATAAACGCCAACTCCCGACAGAGGTAATAGACTTAAAAAAGATTAGGAAAAATTGAGTGCCCGGATTGACTACAAATATTAAACTGAGCAAAAAGAGATTTCAGGCCATGGAAAAAAGGTTATAAGACCAATAAAAGATTTTACTCTCGAGGTTCATAAATTGTAGCTAGATCAAATGCTCAAAACATAGTTGTCTCAAGCACATTATAGGCAATGACATGGATACTAATGTCCCAATTCAGAATCCAGAAACGAGAAGACAATGGAATCTTCAAATTGTAGCTGATCACAACGAATAACAGATGGATAGGATGAATGACTCACCTGATGATCCCATTCCCATTTTCCGCGTGAAATCGGCCAAATTAGGAGGCGTCTTGAGCTGCGCCACTCAAAATCCCCGATTAGCCGAACACGCGAGTGATTGGAGAGGTGCAAAGTCGAATTGGCGAAGCAAGAGAAGGAGCACTGTGCTGATTGAATGCATCAATGAACAAACACACCACAATGAATCAACAGAGCACGCGAACTCGTAGCTACCGGATACTGGGAGAGATCGCTCACCGACTGCCATAAGGATGTACTCTTGCATGGTCATCATGCATCACCGCGAGACATAAAGTGATCATCTTCATGGTTTTTTGAGAGGAGGGTATTCAATTGGTGCATAAACATATACTTATCGAAAATGGATATGATATGCACAAATGGACCATATCATGTATCAGTTGATAATATCTTCCCAAGATAGATACATCGGCCTAGTTTGGGGATGTCCAATTTCCTTAATTAAAGTCAAAGATCGCGTGTTCATCATGCATCGTAGCAAGCCATCGTCATGAAATAAAAGATGAAGCAACCATGACCCGTTAGCTTTTTGGGAGGAGGGTAAATTAAATTTCTTGTATTGGTACGTAAATGAGATCAATCAAAATAGTTTCTAGAGTATATTGTAAAAGGCTAAATTGACCCATATGGTAACCCATGATTCGCCTTCCCGCTGGCTTTAGGATGTCAGCGCATTTTATTGATGAAATAACGCCTGATTGACTGATTGACCGATTGACCGGAAATGGCGCACATAAGATGCACGTGAGACGTGCACTACTGCGGGTCACTTTTATTTTAAGTACTAATCTTGCAACACGTTCTTTAATTTCTTTACATACATCTCTGGAAAATGTACTTAACTATGAATCAATATCTAATATATATGGAAATAGTTTCCTGAAAGGAGAATAAAAGAAATCTTCAATCGCTACATTAACTTATGATTTATAATAGAAGCTGAATATCTCCCATCATAACCCCTTGAGAAACATATGAAACTAGCCAAATTCATCTCAAGAGCATTTCCTCATTGTTTCAATGCTTTACACGGTCTCAATCCAATTTATCGAGTTTGTTTACAATTAATTTATCCAACTTTCAATATGATTTAGTTACTAATCCTGCAAGATGTTCCTTAATTTCTTCTTAGTTACAAACGTCTAGCGGTTAAGTACGGACTTCATTTTGCAACAAAATATACTATACATGGATATTTGGGTCGCTATGCATCTATCTTCTTTTTTATTTTTGAAATCATCATATAAGATCAGTCTGCGAGTGTGCCAAAAGGAATGTTTAAATTACAAAAATCGTCCTCACTTTGAGATCTCATTTCAAGTTGTGTATGAGTTTAAACCCTATTTTCGGATATATCATTTGCCCTTCCTAACATATTCTTCCACCATTCCAAACTCACCCACCACAAAATCCACTTAACCAAATCCCTAACGCAACCCAAGCTCAGACCCTCTACGACCGAGGCCATCGCCACCAGCAATGTCTTAATTTGTGACTTTTATGTTCTTTGTAGCTCGCCTTTTTTCCTTATTTCTTTTGCTTTTCACTTATTGCTAATCTTGGAAAGTGTAAGAGCCCTCGATACGTATATCGCGACGAAGGAGTGGTTTATACGATCACACAATTATGAATTGGTCCGGTATACCACACGAGACATCAGACATGAGCAAACCCTTTTTTTTCTTTCTGTGCTGCGATGGACGACATGCCTCTTTTGATTTGAACTTTATCACTTCACCTTCATTCTCATTCCATACGATGAAGCAAAAGATTGTAAGAACCAAAAGCTTTTTGTGTAAAGCCTTGTGCCAAGCTAGAATTCTGTGGTGTTTCCCCTCCAAAGTTGACTCGATCAACTGCAATGAGGAAGCAATGACTAAATCCATCCACCCAGAAAGGAAATCATCAGATTGGTTGGAGATGAGATTTCAATTTTCCACCAAACTTTCTCCGAAGTTTTCGGCGCTTGGATGAGTCCATTGATCTTCTTTAGCAGCCCAAATAAAGTCGGCAACAAAAAAAAAAGTAATTTTATGGATGTAAAAATAAATTTATCGATAGAAGATTCAATTCATAAAGCGAAATTTCCATATATAATAGTGTCACTATAGTGAAATTCGGATTCCGCTTTTGGTGGACGGTATAATAACTAAAAGGGGAAAAAAAAGACCGTGAAGAGAAAGGCGCAATGCAAGGTGCGTTAAAAGTTTGCTATCGTCCATCTAATTCCCATACTGATCATGTATTCAATGCTCATTTTTTTTATTGGGTATTGAATTTGAGCCACTACTAATCTAGTACACACATACATACTAGTTGCCAGAAGGGAAAGTCGTTTTCTCAAATTTAAGCTTGGTGTTTTCGGTACATGGAAAACACTTTCCATCAATTAAGTAATTTTCAGTCATCCAAAACTGACCCATGGTTGCTACTACTTAATCGACTTTCATCCATTACATTGCTAGTTGGCACATTGTTCTTAATCTTACAGCTAAGGACCCAAATGAGATGAACACCTTCAATGATGCTAAATACTCGTGAAGCGGATACAACGGATACCCCGGCAGTGGATACGGAGGATACCCGGGCCATGGTGGTTATGGTAGTTACCGAGGCTGTGGTGGCTATGGAGGCTATCCAGGCTAAGAAGGTCATGGTGGTTATCCGGGACGTGGTGGCTGCGGAGTAGGAGGGTATTGCCGCTTCGGTTGTTGTGGCTAGGGATAATATTGACAATGCCGCTGCTGTTCCTATGCTGGTGAAGCGGTGGACAAGATGCGCGAAGCCAAGCCTCGGAACTCATTAATAACCTGCATTTGTGCAAATTATGGAATTAGCAATAAAAGAAAACCCGCACAAGTTTTTTCGAGTTAGCCAAGCATTTTGAATTTGAAAATTATTGAATTAGGTGTAATGATAACTTTATCATTTTTCTTTTTCTTTATTTTTTTTTATTTTGTCGATAAGTGAATTAATTTTTTAACCCGAGAAAAAAGGGGGAAAAAAAGCAGACCAATTAGGAATTAAGGAGAAGCAAAAGGGCTGGATGTCGGGGAGGAGGACAAGACAAATTAGGACAAAACAATTAAACGACAAACCCCAAGACATAATTAAGGAGGTTTGGTGGTGCTAATGACGTATGGAGCATTACCCTCGAAGGAGGTGTCCGTGTCGCCTCCTTTGCGTTCCGGTCCAGCTGTGGAATCACCTAACCCTCTCTAAAAAGAGCCACTGTTTGACTACGGTCCGATTCTCTCAAGTCAACGCTTCTTGTGCAAGCATGATCGCCCCATGACGGACAAACATCAGAAAAAGCCCAAGACGTGTTTCGGGGATTGATTGGAGATTGCCCCCCACCTAATTTATCGGACAACTTTTTGAGTCTCACAAATTGAGTTTGAACTATCCACCTAAATTGAGAAAAAGATTAGGTACATGACATAAGATAAAGCGGTCTCTGTCATGAACATTAAGGCGAGTTCATACGTTTGGCATGGAGAGACACTATGCCTTTGCCAAATTCTTGTTTAATTTTCATTCACTCTCTCTTTAAGAAAATGTCAAGACAAACAAGATTGCCTTCTTTCGTATTCTTTTCTAATCTGTCAATCCCATCATAGTATTAGTGCATCGAAAAAGTGATCATGACATGTTCGGTTATGTGGAAACGTACGAAGGGTTTTCTCGGTCTCTCCTTATTTTCCAAACACGATTTTCTTTCGATAAGAATGTTTTTCATATTTAACGGGCATTGATTCGAACTTGAATATTTAATTTTTCAACATTACCGCATTATTATTGTCAGTGATTCTATTTATAAGTAGATGATAGTTATCGATATGAAGACACTCTGATTCTTACAATTTCAACATTAATAAGTTGCTTATTTTATTTCCAATAAGCATGACCCAAAAGGCACAGATGAATTTGTAATTTATGTCTAATTGGGATATAATTCGTTCCCTCATATCGAGGCATCTAGAATTGTTGGGAAAAGGTTAAATTAGTGGGAAGAAAAAAGGGGGTCATTAAGCGCACTAAAGGGCCCTGAAATCATGGACTCTTAGACACAGAACAACCCCAACGTGCGAAACAAGCAGGGCTTGTTCTCTTCTTGGCCCACACTTAGACAAAAACATAATTAAATAATTTCCCTTTTGATTTTAGACCAAGAAAACAAAAATTAAATTACTTAAGATACCCTCTTGAAAACAACATTAACGGGAAACCCTCGTCATCTTCTTGGGAACAATCTCTCTCTCCCTTTATATATACATATTTTGTCTTTCGCTTTGATTCTCACTCTCTTGTGGTTATCTTTTCGCGTTCGGGCTCGAAGAAAAAAAG